AATCCAATACTGAACAAGATAATATTTCGAAAATTAATGAAGAAGGTTCTATTAATACGCATGAAAAATCACCTTCAGGAGAAAAGCCCGAAAAAACAGCGTTATTTTGGCGTAAAGAAAAGAAAGAGGATAAGAAAGATGATAAAGATGATAAAAAATCTACCTCTGCAGGAACGACAGTTGAAGAAAATGGCAAAGAACATAATACAACAGTTAAAAAAGATAAAAAAGCCGAAAAAGAAGAAAGAAAACGTGAGAAAAAACTTGAAAAAAGTAAAAAGTTAGAAAAAGACAAATTACCTACATCACCGAACGGAATACAAGCTACTATGTGAGTATGTTGAAGTTTATTAGAGTCGAACGCTCCAAGTAGTGATTCGAATCGGCAAAAATTATCTAATCGATTAGTTGGATCAACTTTCATGAATTAGTTTTGATTAGATGCCACATGTTTTTAATTAATTTTATTGGTTAGCTGTATTATGCACATTTATATTTGCATTACAGTTAACTAATTTAATCAGCGAAAAATTTTTATTTTATTTTTTTTATATATATATATTAATAATAATTTAACGATTAGTTTCTGCAAAAGTTTTTAGATCGAATAGTTGCCAATTTGACCAACTTATCGATTAATCGATTTCGATTCATATCACTAGCTTAAGGGTATTTATTACCTGCAAATATGGTGGCTTTTTTTTTTCTTGTCAATCATTGGGTGGCTAAGAACTATGGGTTGTAGAAAAATGTTCATTTTATAATTCTTTACGCGGTTGGTAGATCACCAATCCACCTTCATTTTTTTTCTATCATTTCAAATTTACGAAAACAGGGCGCTAGATCGCTTTAATATTTGATCAAATTTTATATTTTTATTTTTTTAATTGTATGATACAAAAAAAAAATTATTACTACAATATTCTTCATATCATATCCTCTTCTCCAAACTTCCTTTACATTGTACATTAAAACTTTTAATAAATCAGTGAGTTGGGAGTCGAGATTGGAGAATATTAATATATAAATTTTTTAAACTACTAATAATATATTAACGGCTACTTAGTATTAAAAACTTCTTCGACATATAGTATGCTGTATAAAAGTAAAGAGTGTAATGATATCATTTAAAATTTAGCACATTAAACAATTTAATAAATTCACTATTTTGATTTTTGGAGACCCTTTATTTAAATTAATCTGGTATCGATATGTGATCGTGTCAAAGATCCTAGTCTGAAAAACTTGCGTATTTAGGGTAATTATATATTCTAAATAAACAAACAATTTTTAACAAGTTTATTCTAAAGTTTCTATAAATTTCGATGGTCGTTTTTTTCCAGTCGCATCCAAGTAATGGTCAATCTTGGGTGGTTTACCGAATATTGGCTCATGGATACCTTTTAACAATGATTTGAAGTATTAAAAAGGTTATCAAGATTGTTTATATGGTTTTAGGAGAATTATTAGTATTTACCTAATTGATCTTTATAGATTGAACTAACATCCTTATCCCATACTTCACGAAAAAATGTTGCACCACGTAATATCAAATTATATTGATTTACAAACTCACGAACATTCATTTTTTGATCCATTTTTGTCATTTCGATTTTACCATCGGGCTGCTCAAAGGCACCCAAGGTATATCTATGGTATTTAGTACCCTTAGGTGGATGTGGCGGCACATACTGTAAAATTTCATTTCCACCAGAGATGTCAGTTTTCGTAGCACTAATGGGAATATTTGTTCTAATAAACATATTGTTAACCTATGTGATTCATTGATAACATTATAAGCAATAAAAAGACAACATAATTCGTGTGGCCTACATGAGCCAATGCCATTGCATTTGGAAACTTTTATTTTCTACATCAGGCATATCTAGAATAACAAATAATAACAAATTTAATGTAAATTGTCATAACAACACAACTACACGAAACCAGTAGCACCTTACTCACCTGGATCTACCATAATGAGAGTATATAGGCGCGTTTCTACATGGAAACTGTTCATAACAATTGTAGGAGGGTTTATTGTCTTTAAGTAAACACTTAAATCATTAAGTGTGTTTCTGGTTCGAAAAAAAAAAAAAAGCACTAAATTATCAATAGAATATCAGCATACTCTTATAGGCCGTTGAAAACATCCAGGTTCAACAAATTCATCATGAAATTTAAATTCAAAGCATATCGTAGGTTCCAAGTCTGGAAATACATCTGGTACAACATACATTTGTGTTATACGTTCCATCTATATTAAATATTAATTAAGTTAATTAGCGATTAAAAAATATGAAATCATCCATTATAATAATAATTGATACCAATTTTGGAAGAGGACCAGATTTCCAATGCTTTTCTTTTAAATGACGATAAACAGGTATAGACATATCGACTATTATATAAAACATAAATAAGTCAGATAGTATTCTCGTATAATAATAGTGATTTAAAAATAATAATACATACTTGTATCATTCTTGAAATTCCATCGAATTTCTGGGTCGTTTACTTCAGCTTGAACTTGTAAAAAATATTTTCTTTTGTGAAGTGCTTCCAATTCTTTAATGATCTCATCGTTGCGTTCAGCTGTTATCGAAAAAGAATTGTAGATCAGACTCTTAAAAAAATATATGTATAAAATAGTTATTTTAAAAGAACCTTTTGAAAATTTGTTTATTTGTTCGTCGATTTGTTTTATCTGCTGATATTTATTTGCTTTATCTTGAAGGATGTACTGAAGCGCTTCATCATAAGCAGGATTAATTCCCAAAGGAAGTGGTTTATATTTCTTTAAGCCTATCTTTTTATCTGTTATCAACCCATCTGGAGATTGAATAACTTCTTCTGCCAATGGTTTTGTCGTTGATTCGTCTATTTTTAAAGTTCGAAAGTTAATAAAAAAATTTGGTAACTTTGAGGCAAAGAAAAGTATTATTTGAATAAATAAATATATAATTCAATAGCTTTAAATTGAAAGAGTAAGACTAAGCGGAAGCTTACCGTGCGAGACTGTATAAGCCGAGCAGTAGCTGGTATAA